AAATTTCATCGCGATTGGACTCTCCTTTCGAAAGTTATCGTGTTAACGGCCGGACGGCTGGACGGCCGGACGGCCGGACACACTGACCGATTTTAGTAGTGTACTCACTTTTTGAGTACACAAAAATTATAAAAAAAAACAACTTTAAGGTCTATCATAATATTCATCTGTTCCAGGCATCAAGCCACACTTACGATAAGCATTTTTAATCGTTTTTTTAGAGAACGAATAGAAAGTTTCTGAGAATACTGAAGGTATATCAGTTATAGATAATGGATGTTCAGCTCGAATAACTTCTTTGAAATTGTGCCACAGTGGATTATCCAATGGTGAAAGATATTTTGCTGAAGCCGTTGGCATGTATAAAATTTTTTTTACAGATCTACATTTACCTGCTCGTAATGCATGCATCATATCTTCATCATTGTGAGCACTACTTTTGTCACAAATCAAGTAAACATTATCGATGTGTAATTGATTAATTGCTGGTGCTAATGTATCAGTAATCCACTGATTTATCACCATTTGTGTAAGTCCTTTAACTTGATAAGTTTTACGATCTTCAGGAGTTACTGTCATACAGGCAATTGGTTGAGAACCATTGACAGCACCAATAAAATCATATCTTTTGGCATATGATGATGGTTTTGTAACTCGAATTAATGGTTGTTCACCTGGAGCAACAAGAGTTTTATTAGGAGCCATAGTGGAATACATAGCTGTTTCATCAATAAATATTAAACGATTTTTATCAATACGTTGTAAATTTTTACGAAATTGAATAATGCTATTCCAGAAATCATTATCATCTAGAAACATAGAAAGGAACATTACTCAGACATTTAAAATATCGTTAAATACAATAAATATTCACCAACCATCACGTAATGTTATTTCACGAGTTGATTTCCATTTTATTCCAGATTCTTTTCCATATCGTTTTATTGTACATATTGGTACTGTTCGATTGAGTGCAGATTTAACATGTGCTTGAACCATACGGTAATTAACTGGTAAACGTTGATCGTTCATTGATTCAACAAATTCTAAAATATGATGTTTAACTTCTTGTGGTGACATTGTACGTTGTCGATGACCTTTTGTTTTCTGATTTAATGATTCAACAGTACCATCCCATTGACTATACCATCTCATAATAAGTTTATGACCACCTTTGACCTTAAAACGTTTAGCTAATGCTTTAAACCCATAGCCGAAAATTCCAGGACGATATTCTTGAAGTAAGTTGTGCTTGAAGTGACTTGTATATTTATCATTTTTATGAACCATAATGAATGTATAAACAAGAAGAATTAAAAACAAGATAAACAAAAGGAAACGATTAAAAGCATAACGAATTAAGGATTGATTTTGTCAATTTTATTGAGTCACAATGTCATGTGTCTCTCTTTCTCTCTCTCTCTATATATATATATATGTATATATATATATATGACAAGCACGTGAACGAGAAAAAAAGATAGAATCAAACAGTTCATATTATCACGTGAATATCAACGTGATATGTTCAACGATATGATTTTTTTATAATTTTTTTTTATTATAATCACGATATGTATTTTTTTGAAGAAAAAAAAACTTGTTACATTTTTTTGAAATACGTTTTTCACCATTAAGCTCTATTTGATTTTTTAATCCAAATATACCAAAAGATGCAGCGCGTTTTGCGCTTTCTTGCTATATATAATAAATTGAAAAATAAAAGAGATATAGCAAAAAAAAAGAAAAAATACAGAAGGGGGGATTTTCAATTGAGCCGCATAGTATATAGGGGTGCATCAGCTCAAGCTCAAAAGTTCAGCTGAGCTGAGCGAAAAAGCTGTTCGCCCGTTCATTTCGGTAGGAGCTGATTGGTTTGAACAGCTCCTTTCAAAAGAGCTTATCTGATCAAACAGTTCTCGTTCCTGAACTGAACTTTTTCAACAGCTCCGTTCAAAGGAGCTGATCTGATCAAACAGCTCTCGTTCCTGAACTGAACTTTTTCAACAGCTCCTTTCAAAAGAGCTGATCTGATCGAACAGTTCTCGTTCCTGAACTGGACTTTTTCAACAGCTCCTTTCAAAAGAGCTGGTCTGATCGAACAGTTCTCGTTCCTGAACTAAAGTTTTTCAACAGCTCCCTTCGAAAGAGCTGATCTGATCGAACAGCTCTCGTTCCTGAACTGAACTTTTTCAACAGCTCCTTTCAAAAGAGCTGATCTGATCGAACAGTTCTAGTTCCTGAACTGAACTTTTTCAACAGCTCCTTTCAAAAGAGCTGATCTAATCGAACAGCTCTCTCTCAAGAACTGATTAACATTATGCCAAAAATACTATCCAAAATCTTTTTGAATTCACTTTAAATAACATATACAATTTTTCAAGGGCCATCTTCGGAAGGTCTTTATAACTTTCCAAAAAAATTACTAAAAGATAGTAAGTACAATTTTTCGGGAGCTACTTACTATTAGCAACTCTAACTATCTATCATTTTTTCGGGAGTGACACTTACAGGTTTTTCAGCGCTGTCTGGAAGTGGTATTTAAAGCATTTATGAGGCACAATTTAATACGAATGTTGAAGTGGATGGACAGAAATTTGCAATCCCTATTCTCAGCGTGACAGACATGATTAGCAACGAATTGTCATAGACGTAGCAGATATGTTCAGTTTTCTACATACATGTGTTGATCTAGTGTTGGTTCTCGAAACAAAATGCAATGAATAGTGATGGATGATGATTGGATCGAATTTAATAGTGAGAATGAGTGCTACTTATGAAATAATTGATAATCTTATCACTATTATGAAAGCATAATAGAAGTCAAATTGCCAAGTGCTTCACAACAGAATATTAAGAATCATTAAAAAATTGAGATAATATTACCGGTAATTGTTGTAATGGTGCAGCAAAGAAGTTGGAAATGGGCTCACGCTTTTCTTATTTTACAGTCGTCTAATTCTATAGTAAAAATAATGTTGGCTTTTGAAGCAGTATCTTTTTTTATGTAATGTATCTCAAAAATATGACATTGTTAGCTGCTTTGTTTTGAAGGTTAAGTATTTATTATATGTGCTATCACTCTAATCGATTTTCACTTTTACAATTTATTACCATATCCTTTTGTAGATGTCATTGTTGTACACTTCCATGAATATTCACTTGTGTCTATATATATGAAGTTTTCTGAATTTAAATCTGATAATCTCATATAATTAGGTACCGTTCTTCGATACAAATCAAAATGAGTAGTTGAATAATGCATGAATTATAAAGGAACATCAGTTTTTTTTCGAAATAGAAACGCCAATCATATGCCTTTAATTACTTTTTTATTTTACTTCGTCTAATCTATTCGATTCTTTTCTATACACAATCTTATTTATAATTACTTTACACATATAAAAAGATATAATTTATTTTGATTCTTAATTAAAAAAGAGAAGATTTGATTTTAATCGATTGGATCATGGTAATAAATACAACTACTTCACAGAAAATCACTATTCAACGTTCAGCTAATAGTACATTGACCACTATGCATAAAAGTAAGCAATCAACCGGCGCACGAAAACGAACAATGGAAATATCTTCAAATGGAACAACATTAAGTTCTCTTGGTCAAGACACAGTGAGTGATATAAGTGGGGATGATGCTGAAAATCCAATTCCATTGAAAAAGCGACGAGTCTCAATAGTTCATACATATGCTCATAAATTATCTGATCTCGAATATCAATGTTTATTATGCATGAAAGTAACAGATTTATGACTTTTATCGTGATCTTTTAATTGGGACTTTTTATTCTAGATAATTCGATGTAGTATCGGTAGTAATTCGAATATAAAACGACATTTAATACAAGTGCATGGACTGAACCATTTAAAATCAAAAAGTGATCCATCTGTAGTACCAAAACGATTATTTGATCCGTTCCGTAAAGTTACACTCGACGAAGCGGCTATAAAATGTATAGTTGTTGATAGTAGACCATTTGGAGATTTTAGGAGAAAAGGTACACCAATGAATATTGTTCTTTATTCGTTTTTTAGGAAAGTGAACTATTTCTGATTTGCATTCGAAAGTAGCTGAATGTGACTATATTACTTTGCTTTTCGTGCAATAAAATCTATCTGTTTCAACTTAATTTATTCATTATTTCTTAATCTTTCCATAATAAATCTTGTTTGTTTTAGAGAAAAAGAAAAAACTTAAATTTTTTGTTTTATTTCATTCCATTTTGTGCAAATAAATCTTTCACAGTTCGGTGGTTCTGCATACTTTATAACACTTTGCTTGCTCTATCCATTAGCGCTTATTGTTCATAAATTAGTACTGATTTGAATTAGCATACTCATTATAAACTTCAGTAAAACTTACGAGAGCGTAATTCAAGAGAGAATAGAAGATATACTTTAATTGTTCATATATAATAAACATGATGAAGCTTATAATTTATCTTATCATAACAGTAATGTTGTCTTTTAAGTTACAATACTTCCGAGCCTCAATGGAACAGATTATTAAAATAATCCAATTTGAACTTCTATAAATTAAGACATTTTTTCATTGTTCTTGGTATACAACTTATTTTTTATAGGTATGTTACATTTTTTATCAACAGCTTTGCCAGGTTATGTTGGTCCACATGCTAACACTGTTCGACAAACAATGAAACATTTATATGCTAATAAATTATTGAAACTTCGAGAAGATTTGAAACAAATACCTTATGTTTCTCTAACAACAGATTTATGGAGACGGCCAAGAAAGCATCATTACTTGTGTGTTACTATCCATTATGTAGATACAAATTATTTGAATGTTTCTAAAGTGCTTAGCTTCCGACGATTTCATGGTCGTCATTTCGGTCAACGTATTCGGAATCATTTAATTCGAGTTGTAAATAAGTAAGTGATGTATTGATTTAAACTATTACCGACTCTAACAGACAGAACATTTTTAAAATGAACAAAACTTAATTGTTATAAAACACTTACAGTACGTATGAATTCAAACTAGATATTTCATGCAAAAATTATTTGTATTACTTAAAAGATAAGACTCGTTATTTAATGTTCGTTAATTTTTTCTCTAACCAGATAACATATGGAATTTTATTTTTCTTTATTTTAGCTTTCAACTTGAATCAAAGATTGTAGCTATTGTTAGTGACAATGGTAGTGACATGCATTTTGCTACACAGTATCCAGAAATGTTTGGTGTTAGACTACACTGTTTAACACATGCGCTAAATTTAACTGTTGCAAATGGTTTGCAATTATGGAAGAAAAAAGATAAAAAACAAGATTCAACAACAGATTTAACAAAGTAATGTATTTGTGTTGAAAAATAAAAAATCTAACATTAATTATCGATAAGTAAGGGACAATATGTTATTATAAAATATAAACCATCAAGATTTATTTACTTCATCTTGATTAAGAAGAATTATACAAATAACATCGTTTTTCAACGGTTAAATCTAATGTGTCCGAGCTAGGAAAGAGTAATGCATTAGGGATATGAAATGTCAATAACAATTAATCTGAATCATTTATCTTATTTCTTATAATAGCAACTCAAATTTATTGTTCAATATGTGTACTCTTTACTTCTCATTATATTTTTTTGAGAAACGAAATTGTTCATAGGTTTATCATGAGAAGATGATGAGTACCGTTATTTCAATCTGCCAATTCACAGAAATTTGTTGATAAATGTTATGCTTATTTCTTTGTAAAATAACTAAATAGCTACCTATGCGTTGATCATCTCAGATATTTATTTACCTTTGGCTTGAATACAAAGTAGAATTTATTTCAATAGAAATGATTTGAATACTCAATGGGCGATAAAAATTCCTGTAGATACTACCACATGATATCTGCATACCAGTTATGCCAGATAATCCATTACAATATTTTTGTATTAGGTACAAACCATCTGTCACTGATAGGGTTTTCTAAAATTTGTATAGAGAATCAACATTTTACTTGCCTAAATAAAAGACGTTCACATATAGAAGGTGAAATACAAAAGATAGTCATTCCGTATATTGCATGTGATCGAGTCATAGAATCAACTCATTTTAATATGTTGGATTGAGGTTAATATGTCAAACTTAGTCGGATGATGTTATGCTTCTGTATCTATCTTTTTCTAAAAATATCAGTTATGTTATTATTACATGGATTTCGCAATACTAATAGATTTTTCTCTTTGTTATGTAACGTATTTTTATTGTTTAGACCACACGATGATGGTGAAATTGAAGATGCAGATGGTAATGAAGTTGAAGAAGAATCGTCTGATGAATCAGATGAAGAAGAAGAAGAAATATCAACAACGCTCAATGCTGATGATAATGAATCAAATATTGTAATCAAACACTTCGATTTAGACGAAGAAGGTCATCGTGAAATACCTCAAGATAACACCGATATTCTCTCATCAGATGAAGATATGGATGATGATAATGGTCAAATATTGGATTCTTCTACTATTATTAATAATATAAATGATGTTCTTAGTAACTGCCGGAAAATCATCAATACAATCAATCGTTCTAGTATTCTATATGAAATTATTCATAATCTTGCTCGTCCTTCTATTAATGCTGATCTTATACTTGATATGCAAATTCGATGGAACAGTACATTCAAAATGACATCTAGATTAGTTCAATATCGATCAATTTTAAACACATTTATGGAACAATTATCTTCGATAGATGGTGTTACTTCTAAACAGAGAAATAAATTAATAAAATCTCAGATTTCAAATGCAGAATGGGATATTCTGAATACGTTAAATTCGACACTTTCAATTTTTTCCGATGCGTCAGTGGAGTTATCTGGAAGTGGATATCCATCATTTTCAACAGCGTACGTGGTAGTGGAATCACTTTTACATTATCTTCAAAAGACCACCACCAATGATATCGAACAATCCATCAAAGGTGTGCTAGAAGAAGCATTTCACAAATATGTATATTATTCAAGCGAATCACCTGAACGGAATTTATTGTTGGTATGATCTTAATACGATGAATCATGAGCTTTTTGTGAAATTCAGTTCTGTATATTTTTGTCCGTGGATTGCAACAAGGATATGGTTGAGAATGAAACTAAAAAATTGTCAGTATCTACGATAAGATTATTCACATCTTTTTACCACGCAGATATATATTCTTCGTTTTTTCTTCTTTATTTTATTCCATGTTTACATCGAAAAACTAAGTATTAAGCACGTATTCATTTTGGTTACTTTCCTATTTTGGACACTGACAAGGGTATGAAACTCAATGCTTCTCTTCAATAGTATGTAATGTTTCTTTTTTTCTACAGATCTCATTATTGATTTGTTTATCTTTTTCACTGCTCTCACCACTCTTTTATTGTATCAGAAAATTAATATGATGATAAAGCTATTACCCGCAGTGAATTAAATCTGACTTCCAGATAGACGTAGAACTTTTTTTATTTATATAACCAGCATACTTTTTAAAACTAGTAATCATTTGTTTCAAATGAAGCAAAAGATAACACAAAACTGTCGAATACAATTTTACAATAGTCACAATTGTTGTGATTTATTTTTCTGTTTAGATTTGTTCATTTTTAAATCCAGTTGTGTTTGATATTATGGACGAACACGACAGGCTGTCGGCCAAAAAGCTACTAATGACAGACACGCACATGAAACGTAATGTTAATCAAGAAAACAAAACAGTTCCTGCATCATCTATATCAACTACTACAGATACACTCGCTACCATCACAACCAGTACAACAAATCTTTCACCCGCAGAACGACTAAAATTATTTCGTGCCAAATGTGGTATTGCTCAACCATTATCAACACTTAAAAAGTCAAAAACTGTATCCTTGAAACAAGAGATAGCCAAATTTGAAACACTCGATAAAGATGAGCATTCTTTTTCAACATTTTGGAAGAAATACGAACGGTCTTTACCATTGTTAAGCAAAATGGCTCGTCGTTATGGATCAATTACTGCGAGTTCAGTACCTAGTGAAAGCAGTTTTTCTATAGCTGGTTATTTAGCACGAAAAAATCGATCTTCTCTAAGCGCTAAGAATCTTAAATATTCTATGTTTCTTAAAGACAAGATCTAATTGGTTTTTGTCTTATTATATTTCATCTTTTTCTCGTGTAATTACTATATTTCGTTTTTTTTGAAAATTTTCAGCATTGAGATGGTTTTTATGATTCTAACTTTTACTTATGAACCTTTATGTTACATCATTATGTTTGCTTTTATTTTGTTTTTATATTTTACTTTTTAAATTATTTTTATTGATATCAAAATACAACATCCATAAATAGCATCTAATCAAAAGCAAATCGAGATAATCTATAGATACAAATACTTTACACTATTTCATAGAAAAAAAAACATTTAGTATCTGCAATAGAAAAGAGGATACTCATCATCGATCTATTTCGTACATTTTTTTATATTTGAACGAAAGAAAAAAAAATAGAAAATTAAATTGTTCTTCACATAATTTGAATTTCAATGTGGCATGATCCGATTACTGTCATAAAATGAGAAAATATTTCAAATAAAGTTAATACAAATAGTCTTATATGAAAATTTTTATTAACATATTTCATGAATTATATACCATTAGACTCAATTCTCATATGTGAATAAGTGATGATCTCCTCAATGTTTATTATTAGAAAATAAAGATAAATAGAATCTTTATCATTAAAAAATCAAAGATGAACAAAATGTTTATGTTTCACTATTACAAACTTATTTAAATTGTCTATTTTTATCTTCTAATAATGTATCTTTTCTTTAGTTTCATTTTTTATTTTTAAGAAACAATAATAATGAATTAGCTTTTTTAGTAAAGATTAATTGAAAATACTCTCTTCATTTTTATGTTGGTTCTGAAAAATTATTCAATTTTTTTATCAAATAAAAGTTAATAATATTTTTAATTATTGCAACAATTATTTCATTCAAAAGATCAAATTATGTCTACCAGTAAGAAAAAGAAGTAATCAAAGGTATCTTCAACATTGTTCGAATTATCTTCCTTCTAATTTTTCCATTTTCACTTTCGAATGACATAAAACTGAATCATCAATGTACTGTAGAAACAATATCTACATATGCTCGTATTTTTAAGAAAACTCTTTTCTTTTTAGTGTCTTGAGAAACTGATTGTTTTCAACATCTTCAGTAAATGTACCGATATTGAAGATTCTGCATGATTAATGAACTTAAAAATAAAATATTTAAAAGTTTAAATGAAACAACAACTTGTTTTATTACAAATATAAATATTCGTCTCATATTTGCCTAGAAATATTGGTCCATGCGAAGTTTTTTTTCTATCATCAACCAACTTCATCATTAAGAGAAAACGAAAATTTGAAAGAAGCAACACGTGCGCAACTATATCGATATAAGAAAAAAATCATTCATTCAGGTTAAGGGAGACACAAACAAATTTTGGGTAGCACTTTTGACCTAATGCCAATCAGTTCAGTTTAGGAACGAGAGCTGTTCGATCAGATCAGCTCTTCTGAAAGGAGCTGTTGAAAAAGTTCAGTTCAGAAACGAGAACCGTTCGATCAGATCAGCTCTTTTGAAAGGAGCTGTTGAAAAAGTTCAGTTCAGGAATGAGAGCTGTTCGATCAGATCAGCTCTTTTGAAAGGAGCTGTTGACAAAGTTCAGTTCAGGAACGAGAACCGTCCGATCAGATTAGCTCTTTTGAAAGGAACTGTTGAAAAAGTTCAGTTCAGGAATGAGAGCTGTTCTATCAGATCAGCTCTTTTGAAAGGAGCTGTTGAAAAATTTCAGTTCAGGAACGAGAACTGTTTGATCAGATCAACTCTTTTGAAAGGAGCTGTTGAAAAATTTCAGTTCAGGAATGAGAGCTGTTCTATCAGATCAACTCTTTTGGAAGAAGCTGTTGAAAAAGTTCAGTTCAGGAACGAGAGCTGTTCGATCAGATCAGCTCTTTCGAAAGGAGCTGTTCAAACCAATCAGCTCCTGATTATGAGCGTGTCGAACAGCTCCTTCGCTCAGAACTAAAGCTGAACTTGTGCACCCCTAATTACCAGTTTGATACAAATCATCTAAAAGATCAATACGACTGTAGTTCGTGCAAGATGACGAAGAAGAAAAAGACGTCAGTCAATATTGTTCGGATGAACATGTCTTGAGTATGATGTCTGCTTCCATGTCGTCAGATAATCGAGCTATTGGATTGTATGAATCTCGATAGTCCCAATAGAGCTTTGTTAACAATTCGACGTTATGTTTTCTGTCTTCTGTCGATGTTAATGTCTCGTCAGAATTTGTTGATGAATGCATAAAATTAAATTGTTGACTCATATCGATCAATTTTTTAACGCGTAAGTAATACCCGAAATGTTGTAGAGCATATGGTAAACTTCGGCCGTTCCAATCAATCTTAATCATGCATGTCAGATTGTTAGGATAATAATCGGCTTTTGGTGAAATCTGAGCAATTTGTGAGAGAATATTCAATGAAAGTGAATCAAAAGGCTGATCAGAGTAACAACCAGCAGAATTGAGCAATTGAAAAGCACGTTCCATTCCAGTCATTCCTGTATACTTATCTGGTAAGGAATGAAGAATACCTAAACGATCATTTAAATTGAAAACAAAATAATGATCAGCAAAATTCATGTTGGATCTTCGTTCAATCATTATAGTTTGATGAACATGCCAAGACGTTCGTTCCGCATGAACATCACCAAAAGGAACGATCAATTTTCGGCATCGATCATATCCATCTGATGGATGCTTCATAGGTAATAATGAAAGAAGTAGACTAGACTTCAAACCCGTTAATGTTTCTAACCACTGATATTCCTCGATACACATGTTTGAGTATTCTCGGGATGTGATGATTTTGCTACTGTTGTTGTATTCGAAAGCAATACCTAAACGTGACAGATGAATGTGACTGATAGGATCGACTCGTTGTCGTTTAGATCTCTCAATGCAATGCGCAATAGTATTATCACACATCATATAAATATATGGCTCATCATCAAGACGATGAAAGTAACGTTTGAATAAATCTTGGAAGAATGGTGACGATCAACTGACTAATATTTGAGTACATTCTCTATCGGTAGTTGTTATAGAATGAGTATCCCATGTGAACTGGTAAGGTTTATTAATCAAAAACTTATCATCATAAAAATGGATCGATCGAAATTCGATATGTCGATTTTTTTTATTCATCCAATGACTATAATTCGAAACAAAAATATCAGGTAATTCTTCCCTGAAACAATCCGGTGGAATCAGTTCGAATTTATTTTCGTTTTCTAAATGTCGTTCACTTATGATCAATCGATTTGTTCGAATATTATAATGAAATTCATAGTGAACTTTTCCATCATGATAAGCGTATTTCGTAATGTATGTATTGTCTGATGCAGCCGACTGTACTTCAAAAATGTGACGATCAAATACTCGAAGAAATAACTCATTTGAAATAATTTCTTCTGGTCAAAATCCAACTGTCACACCATTGACTAAGAAAGTTCCTTTCAAACAATCAATCGATATCTTCGTCGATTCAAATTGACCATCATACCAACCATCATAGAGATCTGTTTTTCGTTTCTTCCATTTTCCATCAAAATGAGTTCGATTACTGATATACGCCCAATAGATTACAGAAAATTGATTCAAACTTCCATATGAATTTCTTTTCAGAAGTGCAGCTATCGATGGTTGTATAGTTACTAATATATGTTCACTCCAATGCAATAGAGTTTTTACCAAATAAATCGAATTCGCTTGATGTTTGTTTAAAGTTAAATTATTATGACGTGTGGCTACTGCTCTAAGTAACGAGATCATGTGTGCATCAGATGATAAGATACAGTGCATACGTTCCGGATGTGTGGAAAACGTAAGCAAGCACGCAATTGCAATGATCACCATCTTCTCTCGTAATGTGTTTACTTCCTTCAAGTCGGATGAGATAAGACTTTGAATACCTTCCGATATAAGATCAATCCATTTTTCTCCAACCTTTCGACACTTCAAGATCAGTTCTTTAACTCGATCTTCTTGTGTTTCTTTACAAATTGTATATATTCTCATTGTAATGATCGTTACCAAAACTAAAACTAATTCATTGTGCCAATTCAATTCACAATCATCTAAACGATGATTTAATCTCAAAATAAATTCATCAACAAAATGGTCTTCTAGTAATTGTTGATGAGATTCCGAACACCAAGAATAGTCCGATGGATGCTGATCCATTTCGTTCGGACCCAATTGCAATAATGCATGCATAATGAGTATCGCGACACTTTCTTCATGGATCGGTAAGGAATCCATTTCCAATATTGTCAGCAAATTCCACCATTGAAGACGATGGCCAGAACGAAATGAGCCAAACTCGACAAATTGCATCGGTTTAAGTCATTTCGAACAACAATGTGATAGTTCAGCAATGACATGATTTTGTTCGAATTCTGTAGAACCAATAGTGAATTCTAAGTGCTTATACTCAGAACGATCATCAAGACGAGGAGTGAATCTCGCATATTCTTCGTTGAATGAAATAGGCTTTGTTGGTGATATTTGTATTTTAAGACTATTATCGAGTAAGAACTTCTCCATAGATGTTGATACGATACACATCGGTATATTATAGTGACTTTGTGTGGTGGACTTTTCCGACGAAACTAATTGGACATTCGTAAATTTTTATTGAAATATTGTTCGCTTGTTCTTGTGTAGAGCATCGAATACATGTTAAAAGATTAGGAAAAGATACATATTCACATTGAAGATTACTAACTTGAGCCATTCCAGCATGGCTGTTGAGTGATCAGCAATAAAAATACCGAAGGCATTCGATGAATCGATCTTCGGCAATAGATCTGGCTTCGATTTCTGATCGAATTCATTGAAATACTTGTAAAGATGATGGGCACGAATCATTTCGTTTCGATTTGGCAAAACTAAAAACTCGAATACTTTAAGAAGGTTTGGAATATGAATCGAATGAGATCGTAATCGACTAAATTGTTGATCTTGACATAGTTTTTGATGCATGATAGAAATAATAGTCAATGAAGTTAGAATAAATCGACTGTAGCCCATCGGGTGAATCTCAGAATAATGTGGTAGTGCTGCATCTTGATACTCTTCATAGAAATGTAATAAAATTTCGAATGGCTTGGTACTGCTTTTGAATGACTGATTGATCCATTGTTGCAAAGAAAATTCAACCCATAGTTCTAGACGAGTCAATGCCATGTCAATTGTATAGTTCGATTGATTTATTAGATCGACCATCGATGGTATGGAATCAACTGAATCAATATCTGTGAATATAACATCAAATTGATTAAAAGAGTTCGAAGGCACGTTTAAAGCAGTTTCATTCAAATATGCGTTTAATTTGTTGCATGAATGATCTGCCAAAGGATATTTGTTGATATTCGATCCTAAACGACTTCTGCCAGTTCCAACGTGGATCAAACTTATTCAGTTTTAGTTGTATTTCTTGTTTGACTTGTTTAACCCATTCGTTTGTTCCATGCAAACTATCAAAAGACGAGAAATTTGTATCAATTTTATTCAATCGTCAAGCAATTTTCCGAATGACATGTACTAAATTATCGATTGGTATGTTTACAGTTCGTATTGAATCAATGATATATGTGAGAAAAAGTGTAATCAACAATTTGTAGATCAGTATGCCAAGATCTCCTAGGCATTGTGTGAGAATCGTTTGCAAAACTACTTTGACCGTCATCCATAAACCTGAACGCCGGAAAGGTTTCATTGAATTTTTCCATCGGATTTGATCTCGATGTTTTTTCTTGAACTGAACAAGTTTCTTAGTATAACTTTCGATTTTGACTCTATTCAATTGTTGAATATACCATTGACAAACATAATGAGATTCTGGAACGTTACGTGTTTCTTCGAATGTCCTAGAAGCTTTTTAGATTCTGAATATTCTATAGTATTTGTCATAAAATCCATTAATAATTCACAATGTACATTCTTGCTCAGCTCCAATCGACTCGATATGCGAAATTTAGACACAGGAAAGGAAGAAAAATGTGGCGCCAAAGACGATGCGATGTTTTTGGTTGGTAATAAAACTTGCCACGATGAAATCAATGATTGTTTGTACGGATCTTAATCTATTTCAATGAGAATAGCTGCATTTTGATTATGAAAATAGAGAGGTATGTTTAGATTTCCTAAAAAGTAAATTTCCGAAATTACAGAAATTTCCGATACAACTTAATTGTATACATGGTACAAAGAAGAATTTTCAGAAACATTTACTGAAAAATAAGGAAAATTCCGTAAATTTCCAGAAAATTTCTATAATTTCTTTACATTTATACCTAGGGATGGGATATAAATCTATAAGAATACAGACCCCCACCCATAAAAATAGTAGAATTTTTAGTAAATACCGTAATTTCTAGGTAATTTCCATAATTTCCAGGAAATTTCTATAATTTCTCTTCTTGTATACCTGGAGATGGGGAATGTAGATCTTTTGGTCTATGTGCAGGAATAAATAAATTATAGAAATTTACTGGAAATTGCCGAAATTTCTTAGTTTGTGAAGGAAATTTACTTTTTTGGAAGTCTGAACACTGCTGATTCCAAGAGTTTGTATTCATTTTGTCCATTATTTTGTATTAAGTAATCTTTTTTCGCCGTCGGAGGCAAATAACACGGTAGAAATAGATGCGCGAAAATCGATGCATCCATCACCAACGACAGACGTGAAGCGTAGTCTTGAAATGATTCTAGAAGAAAAGAACGCGAAAAACACAACAAAAAATATTTCGAATGAAAGTAAAAAAGCAATTCAATAACAAAATTTGATGTAGAAGATCATGTATAGTTGGTGCTTCCAATTATGTGGTAAGTCAAAAAAGGCGTTACCTTATGGCTGCATTTTGTGCTTAAAAACAAATTTTTTTTCTCGACTGTAAGCAAGAAGTGATGTTTTCAGAACGATTAATACTTTTGTGAAACTCATGATGGTGGATACGACGGTAATGAAAACATCTATACTCTCACCCACCTGAATTGATGAAATAAGAAATAAATTGATATTTATTTGTTCAATTTAACATGCATCATTTATATCATCATTGAGAGAAAGGAAATTAGTTATTGATTGATAATCTAGCTGAAGATGTATGTAACGTTTTTCTTTGAGTATAATGATAGTAAACTATTCAGAACGAGCATATCAACTTCCTTATCAGGGTGTCAGCATCTATTTCCAGCGATGTTTGAAAAGAACTAAAGACGTTTCTAATGAACTTTCATAGTAGTAATAATAGTGGAAAATATTTTTATATATAATCCTTGGCAAAACAAAGTCGATCGTAAACGACCGTAAATGGTATGAAGCGATAGTATACGTTAACGTTATCGGTCGTTATAATGCTCCACCTGTGTAATTATGAATTGCTACAATAATGAACACAATGCTTATCGTGAAAAAAAATCGGTTTGCTTTAACGATAATAGGTGCTTTTACCTCACTAAGATGAAGAGAACGATTACATCACAAAACAAAGGGCGAAACCTTTAATATAACTGGTTGTTTTGTCTATCGGTCACATAGTTCTATGGTTGGGTGTGGGTGTGTGTAGGCTTTTATGTCTGGTGCCGTTATAATCATCTCATAACACCCACACACCCACACCCACACCCACACCCACACCCACCCCACACACACCCCACACACACCCACACCCACACCCATCACAGACCGTGACAGACAGGCTTTGTACCCATCACAGACCGTGACAGACAGGGTTTGGACCCATCACAGACCGTGACAGACAGGGTTTGGACCCATCACAGACCGTGACAGACAGGGTTTGGACCCATCACAGACCAT